AAAAAAAAAAAAAAAGATTAATTGAGTGAAGTCAAGTGTTCCTGATTTATCACAATAGCAGCACAATCACACTTTTACTTATGAGAAATCTACCACCCCGCTGCAGCTTTACAATAAAACTGTGGATTTACTTCCAATAAAAAGGTGGTAAACAACATTTTACTGGAGTTTAAGTTGAAAAACATTTAACTGGTGTTTTTAACAGTCATCCCAGAGGCCAGAATGAGACCTACCGATTGATCATCCAGACACATTTCACTGTTAAAACCGCTGATATTACTGCTTGACCTTCTGTAAGAGATTAGAAAAAAGAGAAGAAACTCTGTCAGTGCCAAGAAGGTTTCTGATTAGATAAACAGCCAGTCCAACATAGAAGGAAATGAGATAAACTGATACCAATCGAGTCACCAAGTCAAACAGAGCATGATTACATAAATAAAAATTAAAATGAAGAAATCTAGTATGACTTTGATATCTTGTGACCTGGATGTCATACAAGGAACTGAGTTAAATAAATAAAATCTCCACACAGATGAAATACTGTTTAAACCGTAGGGGGAATAAAGTTTTCCCTGAATGAAGATGACTGTGCATGTGGGTGTGTGAGATGACACTGACTTGTGGAACTGCGGGTCTGCAGGAACAGTGATAAACTCAGGCGCCTCTTCCATGGCATCAAAGAACTCATTGTCATCGTCCTCATCGCTGGCCTCACCTTTTCCGGGCCCGGCTGCACCTTCACACAAAAAAAAAAAAAATATGTTATGTTCTAATAGAGAAGCTGAAAACAGATTTAGCAGTTATAACTTTTATAATAAACCTTTTCATGACAATATTGCATGAAATATTTCAAACACATTTCTTGATATCTTTTTTTCAAAATACAAAATCTGCTGATTATTGATGTACAAACTGTAAAATGTATTTTTAGGCACTGAGAAGATTCTCACATCTACAGAGACGTAACAAAGAGTGGAAAATCACTTTAAGCGACCAACAAATGAATAAGAATAAAAATCAGTGAATTAAGAAAATGGAGCAAAACAGGCAGGTTTTCCAGAGGGCAAGAGGAGAAGAGAAGGAGGAAGTGGAAAGAGGAATGAGTGACCAAACAACTGACGATATCCTAACTGTAACTCAGGAAGGGGTCACCGTCAGGGTCACGTCTTACTTTTATTGTCTGCAGTAGCATTAGCCTGTGCAGCCCCTCTGAACGCTCGCTCCAGGTGGTTGTGCTGCTTGGCAAGTTGCTCTAAAGTCTCCTCCAGCCTCACCCGCTGGTCCCGTTCTGCTTGTAGGGCCTTCTGCCATCGCTTGCTGTGAGCCTGAGCCAGTGCGAGGAAGTCTCGGCACGCCTGAGGAGCCAGAAATCAAAACAGGGGCAAATTTTGAAAACCCAAGATCCAATAAATATGAGCAACTTTGACCAGCTAATAGAATACAGATTTTAGTATTGATTCACAAGGCCCATTCTCATTCATAGATTATGTATCAGCAGCAAGACGGAAGTGGATATGCTGGGAGAGGGGGATGAAACTTACGTTAATCATGGCATTAGAGGTGATACGGAACAGCGTGGCCCTCTCTGTCACCTGACGAATTTTATCCCCAGCCTCTCCAGTCAGACGCAAACTGTCCAGCTCTGATAAAGACCTGAAATTGAGACGTTGAAATTGAAACAGTTCGGGACAATATATCAACAATTGACAATGTAGATTATTATTCATTATTATAATTTAAAAAAGACTTTATTAATCTCCAATGGGGAAATTATTTTTTTCTTTTTTTAAACACACATACAACCACAAACACGCAAATGTGGAGAGATTGTGGAGTGAGAGTATAATGTCATAACACATACTGTTTTGTCAGTCAACTCCAGTATTTATTTATCTACAAGCCACCTGCTTAACTTCGTACTTAGTACTAAACTTAGTGGAACACCGCACCAACTTAGCAGAAGAGACATGAGAATAATTCATATAAATAATCAAATTAACTGGGCTAAATAATCCCATTCCAATCTTGAATTTTATTTATTACATTTTCTCTCATTTGGGTGACCTGTACTCTATTTAAAGCTGTAATTATAATGTAGACAGACTCCCTGTAAAATGATCTGTATCCATAAACAGGTCCTTCTAGCCTGGTGTTTGATATATAAACACAACCTCAAACCACACAGTTGTCTTCTTAAGAATAATAGAGACGTTTTGTTGAAGAACATATCAGATTCTGCTGGTCTATCATTCACTAGGGTATGGGCTATTTCTTACGGTAGAGTTCTTATCTCCAAACAACTTCTCAGTAACCCCTATTCTAATGTTTTATAGGAATGTAGTTAAGTCTACACACAGGTATGCATCACTGCCCAACCCAGGAGAAAAATTCTGTTCATCACTACCTACGCTGAATATTAATAGAGCCATAAATACCTTATTTCAAAAAGATGTTGTATCTATTCAATATGTCACGGCATATTGGAATCAGCTTGTAAATGATATATATTGAAAGAAGGTCTGGGTGATTCCTCACGAAGCCCTACTTGTGAATAAAGTTATGGAGGTGTTTAAAATTATTTATAAAGATTCCCCTGTCAATCACTACATACAGAAATATACAGAAGCATATCATTATATTGGAAAATTTGTCATAAAAAACCTTATTTTGTTGTTTTCCTGAAGGATGTTGAAAAATGTAAATAGTGTAAATAACAGACAACTACCAAGACACTTACTGCCTATGTGTTAATAGTAATAATAATATATAATAATATAATAAAATAATAATAATACTTTTGTCTAGTGTGATATACCCCTGGCTCTTTTCTTATTATGTTACTCGTATACTATCCCTGTATCCTGAATCTGTTATTATGTTTTTTGTTATTTAAATAAATAAATAAAAAAGAGAGACATTAAACTCGTTTAACTTTGGTCTGAGGACTACAGGATGAAGCAAATAGATTGGTAAAGCCTGACCTCTGGAGGGCAGAGCCATGCTTTGAGATCAGGTCGTTGCACGTGCTGAGATCCTCCACTTTGCTGCCTAGTGTTCTGAGAGCAGACTGAACTTCTGAATTCTGTGACCCGCCACCTTGTCCGGGCGCCACGGGCGGCGATGATGGAGAAAAGTCATCGCCCGAGTCATCTGTTAATAACCAAAGCAACAGGGAAGCAATGAACATCAGCTTAAAAAAGGGTTAGAAACATTTAAACCCTACTGCCAATTCATATGAGCAACTTTGACCAGTTATTACACTACAGTATAGATTGGAGGGGCCCCAGCCTGTACAACTTAATTTAGAAAGAATTTAAAGTTCACTGAATACTTGTTCCCTCTGCCGTGTGTTGGTGTGTTTTACCTGACTCTGCCTGCATGCGGGCCGCCTTGGCTTTGGCCAGTTCCAGGGCGGTGATCCAGCGCTGGCGTTCCACCTCACAGCTCGCCTTCAGGTGGTACGTCTGTGCCCCGCCATTGGAGATGACAAAGTTGCAGGCGTCGTCCACGGTGATAGTTGCTGTGGCCAGGTTTATCGTGCCTCGACACGTGTGGCCCATCTCCGCCTGGGTTCTGAAAATCATATGGGCCGTTGATTTGACAAATAATATACTTGGCTACAACACTGGCTATTTGTCCTAAAGCCTTGCCTTCAGTCCGAGACCAACACACACACCAGTACTGTGTTTGTTTTCTGTGATTACAACAGTACACCTAGGTTCAATCTGACAAGGAAATTGACCTAAATCCGAAATACTGTTGATTGCCCCGTGCTTAATAATGCTTAATGTAGGCCCAGTCGAGCAGAAATGTCTCTTTATTAGTAAACTGATTATCTCCTCACACTTTTTTGCTCAAGTGATACCAATCTGGATACACCGCATCTTCGAAACTGTCCTCGACAAACAATCCAGGCAGATTTATCCATCAAAATCTTTCACTGTAAACGGCCACTGCTAATTCTCGCTAAATAAAACACTAGTGGTCATGCCTGAAACCTGCCTTTACACGCACGGACAGCTGTTTCCCATGTCAAAGTGTCACAGATGGCAAAAGTTGTGAGTTCAAGACCCAGATGACGCAGAATGAAAATTTTTCTACTCATCTACTTACTCAGAATCAGAGACACATAACTTATTTGATCTAATTGTATCTGTTTTATAAGAAAGCGTACCTGTAGTATGACAACAGCCCATTGCTCAGGACAAACCACCTCCGCTGATAGCCCTTGATGTAATTTGTCCACTTGAACACCCATCCTTTGTACGTGTCACCAGCAGGAATGGGAGTTGGGGTTTTGGGCTCCGACATCACAGCCCCCAAAACCAGAGGTCAGATTTGAGGAACCTTGAAAAGAAAATGAAAGTTTGAGAGCTATTAATCAATTTGTAGACCGACACACAATTTATCAGCAAACATTTCGATAACTGGTTCATTGTTTTAACTCATTCTTTGGGCAAAAGTGCCACAAATTCACATATCTGCTTGTTTCCTTCAGTCTTATGTGATTATAAACTGAATATCTTTGGATTTTAGACTATTTATCAGACAAGGCGAGACATTTTTCTGTTAACTTGTACTGTACGTTGAAAGTTTTCCCATTTTCTTACCTTTCATTGTGCAAACGTTTAATCAAGAAAAAACTCGGCAGGTGAATTAATAATGAAAATATGTGTCAGCTCTACCTTTATAGCGCACCATGTCACCATTTTAATACCTTACTATGATAGGTTACTAGTGGCAGATATTGATCTGTCAGTGTGGTGTGACAGATCAAAGATTAACTACAGAATCAATACAGGTTCATGGCTGACACACTTTAGGGGACAAGAACTAGTGTTTCAGCTGAAATTAGATGTTCATTACAGACAGATGGCTTGTAATCAAAACACCTTACTGTAGTTTAATTACCTTCAAACTTAATTATCAATTGACACGGACACCAACATTTAAAAAAAAATGTGATTTAAATGATCTGTCAGGGAATTGTTGTTCAACCTCCACAACAAAGAACACCAAATAATAAGGACATAAAAGTGATGAGGCTCGTAACATATGGACGAGGCTGACACCAGGGGCTAAGTAACGTTAGCTCCACTTGAGCCACTGGGAGTCTGGTTTTAAAAACAGCTCACTGCTACAAGTCAAGAAACACCGATGGTCCTGTTTGCTCCAAGTCTACCAGCTGACATGTGGCACATTTACAACACGGAGCGGCAGAGACACACCGCCGAAACCGTCGTTGAGCTTCATAGCTGGCGGTCAAACTCGCCGGCGGCCAACGTTTAAATGTTTACCTTGACGTGTCCGAAATGTGAGATCAGGCAACCAGACACCCGACGGAGGAGTCACGGCTAACTTTGACACCCATACGCTGCCGTACCCAGCTAGCTGAAGAGGCTAACTAGCTGACTGACGGACACCGGGCAGCTAATGGTGAAAACCCACTGAAATCGAAGACGTCGACGGCAACAGCGCTGGGATTGTACACTACAGTGGCACCAGCGCCTTTCATTAGTATTCCTCAGTAATAGTGTGTATTGTGTTTATTCTACGGCCGCGAGCACCGACATCTACATCTAACTAGCCTAATGTTAGCTCGTTGGTTACACCCGGTGCAACCCCTTTTTGGTCCCGTGTAGAAACACACAGCCAGCTGCATTGTTTGTCCCCATTGACAGCGTCAAGATAACGCGTGGCCGCGGCGGTGTGCCTTCAAAGTAATAGCACACTTTGCCAGTATTTGCCACATATAGTTGGAAAACAGCGGAGCAGCGGGTATACTCTTAGTTTATGCCCACTTTTTTTTTTTTAAAGAGGTCCGTCCAGCTATGTATAAACACAGTGACATGTAAGACTGTTCTTGTGTAATTATAAAAAGGACCAGTAGTGTTTTGCACATTGTTAACTTGTGTTGCTTGACTTCAGTGAGTAAGGATCATTATGAAATTAACATTAGCCACAGAAGAGGTGCAGCTTTTGCAACCAGTACTGGCCCACAGACGGGTGACAGACGGATCAGTTAATTAGCTGATATTATTTTTTGACATTATTTTATTCTGAAGGATACAAACGGAAACCCGCGTCATTGTCTCGTTCTAACTTAACACGTTGTTAATTCTTCACCACTAACTAGCTGGCCTTAGCTAAAGTTAGCAACACAATGCTACATAGACTGTTGACATAAAATTACATTAAAATTATAGTACAAGTTTTGGTACGCATTGACTACAGATGATTGCTAACGTTGTCGGTTACTGTGGGTTTGTTCACGTTGAGTCTGCGCAATGTAAATGAAACAAAAAAATAAAAGTTTACACAAAGTAAACCGTTAGCTACGGTGAATTTTTGATGGATCAAAATTAATTATTTTTTATCGCGAGTCTGTACGAAAAACGGAGAGTGCAATGTGACTTCACTAGATGACAAGCCGGTCAAAGGCAAACATTTCAAAAAGGGGTCTCAAAAAAATGCGACTCCGGTGGGACTCGAACCCACAACCTTTGAATCACTTCTCAAGCGTTTGACTAGAAGTCCAATGCGCTATCCATTGCGCCACAGAGCCACCTGTTGATC